GCAGGGAACGTGGCTGGTTTATTGTTTATCTTTTGTTTATGAGGCAGTATTCAAGTTTAATTACTACTCTAAATTAAACTCTAACTGGCATCAGGAGACATCCCTTTACATGACTAAGTTAAAAAAAAAAAAAAATCTAGAAATCCGAACTCCGGGTTTTTCAAGTAAATTGATACATATAGAAAGAAATTATTCAAAATTAACAGCAATTATAGAAAGCTTTTAAGCATTTATGGGCACCATTCCATGGTCCTAAAGCAATTATTTATTAGAAGAGTTTAATTTTATTTCTAATGGTTACTACTCTAAAAAGTCCTAAGAAAATCAACAGAAATTATTGGGGTGTTTGCTGATAGTTTAAAGATGATATTCTTTTTTATTCATTTCAGGGTGAAAGAGAAAGAAAATGCAGTATTAATATTGCATAAACAACAGCTTTGGGACCATGTTTAATTATCAAGTACAGTCTCAGAAAATTTTTTGATACAATTAGGACAGGAAGGAAAAAATGTCATTGTGTTTATTATAACAGTAAGTGACCAGTTTAGGATGAACCTAGCTCTAGGAAAAATAAAAGTTAAAACCAACTAGCAAAAGATTATGCCAGATGGCATCTGTCATATTGTATTTAGGGTTATTTTAAAGAGATTGCCGCCACTATGAAAACATTCCATTGACAGAGTTTTCCTAGACTGAGTAAGAAATCCCAGTAGAACACATTCAGGGCCCATAGTAAAGGGTTTGAGGTTTGGGTTTTTTTTCCCCCCTCTTTCCTTAATATATAACTAGAATATTTTGGTGGTGGAAAAAATTACTGTTTTATAACTATACCATGTACTATAAACTCCACAATGCAATAAGATCTTAGATGTTTGCTTATCTACTTACATCCACTACTGAGGGGATATTTGTAGACTTCAATATCATGATTGCTAAAGGTCTGTATAATAACTAAATAAATATCTAGCTATGGAATACTAGCCTCGTTGCCTGAATGATAGATGGGGGCATTGACGGAGGGGTTTGGTGGCAGAATCGAGGAGAACTATGCTGGCTCAGACAGCCCTCTTTCCTGAAAGACTGGAGCTCCATAGATGCTAGATTGCTAATGTATTTAGGTTAAACTGGGTCTGGCAACAGCATGGTTAACGTGTGTGTGGTGTGCAGTGTGAGCTCAGCAGTTACTGGGCCAACTGTCTCGGTATTTCTGGGAATCCTGCCTATTCACAGTGCAGGGATTGTTCAATTGCTGCAAAATGTACAAAATGAATTTTACAAAAATGAATTGTAAGGAAGGCCCCATTACAACGATTTTACAGCAAAGATGTCAACATCAATTTTTCTTTCATGCATAGCTAATGATTAAAACAGCAATATTCCATTTGCCTAAGACAATTTATTTCATATTGGCACATCAAAATATTGAAATACAAAGTTATCTTTACTCTCCCCTTTTTATTCATTGCTGCTGAACCCATACCATTGTTCAAACCAGGAAAAATAAAACAAACTTGGCACGAAATACTTAAAACAAAGGCTCATCAATATTCTCCAATTTGTCAACATCTCAATTACAGCACTGGAAAAAATGTAAATTTCATGTGCTCTAAACACTGAGGGGTCTATTCTCTTGCCAATTCACATGCGTAGCTCCCATCAGCGTTAATGGGAGTTACACAAACCCATCAATAATAATAATACTTTGTACATATATTGTGCCTTTCATCTAAGGCTCTCAAAGTGCTCTAGGAACAAGGGGGCTGCTTCCTACTCTTTACTCTGGCAAAATACACAATGCAACACAAAGCAGCTTTTGACTCAGCAGGTACAGAATGAGGGACCCCAAGCCTTATTATCAAGCCCCATTTTACTGATGGGAAGCCAGACACAAAGAGGGCCAGTTACTTCTCCACAGCCCTGAGTCTGCACCCTAATTCTATCCTTGAAAAACCAGATTTCCTTCCTCATTCTAATGTGACTAACAAGACAAACACCCTCCCTTTGGCTGCTTTTAGCAAGAGAAATCAGAGTGAATGAAAAGTCTGGTTCATATTTATATAGTTTACTGCTAGTCATGTGCTGTTGGAAATATACAGTCAAGTCAGGTTTTATATTTTACTAACTTCATTTCTTAACAGTATTTTAAAAATTTGGGTTTTTTTTTTTCTCCTTTCAGTTTGTTGCACAAACACTGAGGAGGAAAAGATGACCTTTCACCTGTGTAACTGTAGCTCTTTCACTATCAGGTCATAAAATGAGGCATTTTTAGGTTTCAAAGTAAAGATTTGTATGAATCACTATAGCAAAAATATTCACAAAATTTATAAAGCAACATAAATGCATGTATTGTTTTATAGCATATGGCTATTAAAGTTTAATTTAAAATGTGTATGAAAACATTGTATTTAGTACAATTCATCCCTATTTTTTCTGTTTATCATAATTTGTTTTGAAACTGAATCGTTTTACAGTTTTCCATATGCCTGTTGTGCTAATAAATTCTGAATAAGCAAGAAAACTCTTCTAAACTTGGTTTCCAATGAAACATTATAATATATTTAATACAAAGAACATAAATTTCTCTCCCAGGTTTTCCATTATACATCAACCCTAAGATTTAACCTATGATAAGCATATGCGATTTCAGTCAATATCTCTGTTGACTTTGCCCTGAAGCAGATAATTAATCTTGCCCACTGAAAGCTACTCTGGACAATTCGGTGAGACTAAATATCAGAATATCTTGAAAACATGTTTAAAAGATTAATATGGGCATGGGTATGACAAAACACACTTAAACCTAGCCTTCCAAATTTGGAGTATGCTGTCAAACAGAACAAAACAAAAAACCAGAAAAACTTTATACATGTGTTTTAAGCACAGACACCAGGTAGGAAATTCTCCCTGCTTACTCTCCATTTTAGAGTAATCAGAACTTTTTTTTCTCTCAAACTTTAACACAGGAAAATGACAGACTTCCTACTGCTCATACACATAAGCTACCGTGTCCATTCTTTAATCCCACAGAGATATGATTAAAGGAACAAAAATCCTTCAGGGATCAAATCCTTCAACATGGGATAAGTGGGTGCGGCTACCCACAGCACAGAGGTTGGTGTGAATTGTTTCTACCCAGAGTGTCAGTCTCAGAACTCTTCTCTTTCCTGACCCCAACACAACAAAACAAAACTAACTAACCAAAATGATAAAACTTTGTGCTTGCCTGTTGCCGTCACCATTCCCTGCTTGGAACCCTAGGGTCTTCTCTCTCCTGCCTCCTCTTCTCTCTGGCCCTTCCTGCCATCCCTCTTGCCATAACTCAACTAACCCAACAGAACCAGTCAGTTTTAAATTTCAGTTGGGACCTTGGTGACCTGTTAATGAATCTACAGAGAGGGGAAAAGCTCACAGTGTTGAGTTATGCCTGGTGTTGCTAGCTGACTTGGAGTCAGAAATGCTTGAAGCGTTAACGTAATTGCAAGAATGTGAAAAATGAAGCGCTGGGCTCCTGAGCAAAGTGAAAGGTCAAAGCCAGCCTCACACACAAGAAGTCTCTGGAAGATAGCCTCATTAGACCATTAGGTCTGCTTCTCCCTTCCCCTCTTTTGTACAATGTTTAGGGTGTTTTGTTTTTATTAATAGATATGGTTCACCCTTTGTGTTGTTGGTGGTGGGAGGATGGAGTGATAGAAAGCTTTTCGGATTTAACCACACCGAGAAGTCCACTGTGGTGTGGAACCACAGTCAAGTCATTACATTGCACATTCACTGAAAGCTATGCACAAGTTACCTTCGAAATGCCTTATAATTTAGTTTCTTTTATAGATAGTCTAACTGGTGCTCTAAAAGCTGTATATAAAACCTAAATAGACACAACTCACAAGTTCTTCCAGTTTGTCATCTCTGTATCAGTTGCAACTTGCTTAGAGGTAGATTCTAATTTGGACCCACTCACAAGCAAAAGGCATCCTAGAAAGGACATTTTTTTTTCCTAGACTCTCCTAGAAACCCAGGAATCACAAATCCCTGGCCAGAAACTTGGAGGAGGGAAGACACCCACCCTACATCAACCACCCCCCTTGCAATGGCATATATAACTACAGCTCAAGCTGTTAAACTGGCCTCTACTTGGAAGCCTGTCTAATGCTTAAATATTGTGGCCATAAACACAGTCATAATAGAGATGAAATAGACCTAGGAGATCAGACACCATCTAATGTAAAATATTAAAAAGTAAAATCTATACACTTTCCTGGCCCACATTCAATAATGCATCTTCCTTTAAATTATCATTTTAGCCATAGAAGAGTCATCCCTACCAATATATAATTGCTCTCTGTGCAATATGTGAGTTTAAAATGGTAATATTTACTCCAAATTGCACTAGGTTTCCTTGGCATCTGCAGTTGACGTCCCTTGCCCTCTGATTATTCTAATTTTTAGGAATTGTGACAAAAGTCACCATGTTAGCTGAATGGAAATAGGGACAAATAATCTATGAATTTCAAAATTCATCTTTCCAAGATAAGATTCTGCATACAATCCCCCAATATTTCTGGAGCTCTGAAGAACAGACTTTTTCATTTTGTGTGTTTTAGAGGCATAATTGCTTGATTATAGAGAACTGATATAGTTGACATTGCAAGCAAACTATCCTGTTTATAGTGCAATTCAAACTACTAAATTATAGCAGTAAAGAGGTCTGTCCTTCCATTTACATACACTGGCCAGAGTAAAGTGTAGATAACCAAATTTGTAAAAGAATTGGCAGAACTAATCAATTGTTATTGTAATGCCTACTTGAAGATTAAACAGCTCACTTTGATTTTTTTCAAGTAAAGTAAGTTAAGAAGAGGAAATACTGTCTCCCTTAATAGTAGCCGATTATCCTAACCTGCCACTCTCCTGTTTACACAGAGACAGATGTACTGGATATCACAAAATACTGAAGTTATTTTAGTCCTGTCTACTTTGCACAAAGAAGACATCTGGCCTTTTACCTTGCTCACTGCTGTTGTCTCCACTCTGGGAAGCATGGCCCCCACTGGAGGGTCCGGGGGTGCCTGCTGAGTGGGTCGAGGTTGCATCGTCGTGGTCTCGCCAGGATGAAGGGTTCTGATATCAGGATGCCAAGGAATTTTTTCCACAGTTGCCATTTCAGCCATAAGTGAGGAACCAAGAAGAGAGGTGCAGAGGGAGACACAAAAATGTGTATTTATTAGTATTTGCAGAACTAGGCATACACGCATGCCATGTTATGGTGAGCAGTCTTTCCAATAATAAGTCCAAAAAAGAAGAAAGATACTCTAGAACTTGACTTATGGTTACATCCGTCATATATATTTGTTAGAAATAATAGATATACACTTTAAATGGATGCATTTTATTATATACAAGCTTAAACCACAATCAAGTTCATTTTAAAAGGAAAAGAAAACTACCTAGAAATGTAAAAGTCTTTTTTTAAAAAACTTTTATTAGCTTAATTAGGGCAACTCTTTCAAGAAATAGGTTCCAACATACTTTGATACTAAAACTTCAGAATAGTAACATCTATGAAATTCAATGATTGCCTTAAAAAAAAATCACGGACTCAAGAAGGTACAGGACAGCAATCTACATCTTCCAAATGCATTGCCCTAAAATAACCTGTATGAATGCTCGAAATTGTCATGACCTCACCAACAGATGCAATGACGTAACTACATCAATACCTAATCAGTTATTGATCTCTGCTTAATTCACACAAATAATAATTTAAAAATAAAACAAATCTGAGCTAGGTTAGACTTTTACTTGAGCTTAAAGGAAGCTTTAAATGACTATGCAGTGATTTTTACTGGAAGAACTACTTGTTTCAAAGGACATGCAAGGCAACCAAGAGTTGTGGCTCTTGCTACTTTGCGAGTATATTCTTCTCCTGTTCCTCCTCCCTTTTCCTGATCATTCCCAATACCCTGCTGTTGCTTAAAGGAAAACAGGAATTCTAATGTACAGGAAGGACTTTATCAGCACCACATGAAGGCAGGCAAGAGATGGAATTTCCTCTGGCAGAAATGGAGAACAGGAACCACACATGAAACACAGCAGCCTTGAGGCCAGAGCTGTGCACTTGTCACCTGTATATGACAATTGCAGCCAAGTCTGAACACCTACTGGCAAGTGAGTTCTTTGGTGGAGCATAATGGGGAACGGTTTTTTTTTTTTAATATCAGTTTCTCAAAATGTACCACTACTTTTTACTAGGATTGATAAATAAGGACTCAGACAAACCTATAAGCAAATAGGCAACTTGGAAACCTCTTGACTATCTGAAAATAATCTTGCCATGTTGCCATTATGTATAGTTTATCAAGAAAAGAATCCGTTTGTCATTTTTATCAACAGCAACTCCATAATGTACATATAGCACATAAAATGTTACCAAGATGAAACCAGAAACAAAAGGGAGACAAAATAAGAAAACATTTTTATCTGGAACAACAAGAGAAAGTTTCCCCCTATAGATCTGCTACAAACTGATTATAAATTAACATTTGGCATTTTTGATAGATGATGAAATAACCTAGAGATCGATGGATTAATAACATCCATATCAAATAATGCTACTGGCACTGCCATCAGGCAAGCAATTGATTCACAGTGAAAAACCCTGAGCAGAAATTTCATGACTATAAATATGGCCCAGGTATAGACCTCTAAAATAAAGATATGTTAGAGAAAGTAGATTAGGAAATGAAATTGAGTGGGATAAAATAAAAACCAAGTTCTCTGTTGCCTGTATGAAGACAAAGTCACTCCTGTGAGCTCTCTTTTTATCTAAGCTAGAAACCACTCCAGTAGTGTCAAGTTAAAGGCAGACAGAGTGCAGGGGCTTTCCTAGTTTTGCAGCCTCTTTGTGTCAGCTGTTTGCTGGATATGATCAGATAAAGTGCTAGAAAAATGACATGAAAAAGAAGAGAGAAAGAATGGCGTGGCATGGGTTTATTCCTGCACCAGCACAGGCAAGAGTCTTCTTTTAGAAAATGCAATGACTACAACACATTCACCTAAACTAAACTTTTCAGTGTACACAGCAAGTGATGTTAATTTTATGCACTGCAGGCTTTTTATTAAGCCGCTGCTATAAAAGCTCCTTACCCCTCATGAAAATTACAATAATTAGGCACTAACACCTCAACTATGTTTTAAGGCAAATGTCATCCAATAGCTATTATATAATCATTCAAATGAAGCTGGAGCAGGTCTTTCTGTTTAGGCACTGCATCTATTGGAAGGATTTGTGCAGAAGGACTTCCTGCAACTGGGAACACTGGTTTGTTCTCATCAGTCAAACTTGTGCTAAGTTTTATAGTTAGGCCTCATTCATTTACAATTCAGTTATATTTCCTTTGATGGTTTTATGTAGGAGGTGTTTTCTAAAGGAAAGGGGTGAAAGATAAGCCACATGGACCAATGTTACATTAAGAGCAAACGATTCCTTAAATAAGTTGGGTCTATGGTTTTCAGCCAAGTCCTCAAACATTGCTAAACTTACTATCAAGCCTGCTCCTACCTCTTCTCTCTTTTTCTTGCTCCTCAAAAATTCTCTTTTAAAAAAGTCTATTTCCAAGAGTATCTCAAGTATTAAGTTCTACATTGAGGGACTGACACAAACTAAGGAGAATCATAGGAGAGTTATCTAACCTGAAAGCAAGAAGAACAGATAGAGGCCTGTGGGATGCCGAGGCTGAGGAGTTATCTCAAGTTATCTGTATTCAGCTATACATGGAAATTTCCTCATATATAAAGACACAGTTGTTCCTCCGTGGTCATAAAAAAATTGTAACCTACATGGACAGCACAGTATATTACCCATATGCTGAGATTTCTTTCTTAGATTGAAATATTTGTTTGTATCACAACTCCTTTCTTCTCGCCCCCATCCCATATAGTTTCCAAGTTTACATTCTTCAAGAATAACTGCTTGGCTTTCTGCCAAACTATATGCAGAATTTGAGTGAATCGTGAAATCAAAGGGGGTATGTATACAAAAGCACATAAAAACACATGACATGTGTAGAAAAATAAAGAGAAATGCTCTCTGTGTTCAGTGTGGGTGAGTATTCAGGTATTTCATTCCACAATATATGTCCTGTTCTCCTGCCAAAAGTATCATGAAAACATCCCAGGGCAAGGATGGAGCATGTTTCTATTCCCAGTGGCCTTAATAATTGGGAGTCAAATATGGTACTCTTCTTGCTCTTAGGTAATTGTGTTAAAGAGCAGAGTTACTAGGAGAAAAGCAGTGAATACTGAGTGGAGTACAATAGAAGGAGATGGAAAATAGATACAAGAAGCTCAGTCTCCAGGGGCAGTATTTTCTATTTGCTGGGCTACAGACTCACAGCTGATAATGCAAGTTGTAATTAATATAAAAGCAGGAGACAATATGGGCAGAGCTTGTAGTAGCAGGGCCACAGGAGAGCGCTCTGCTGCTCTCCTTGGTTTCTCATTTACACACAGCTTTCCCTAGAAAACACAATTCTGCTAGTGTTTTCTCCCTTGAAAGTTAAAAAAAAAAAAAATTGATTTAGCACCATCATTGAATTTTGCTAAATCTAGGAAAGAGCACTGAGAAGAGAAGAGTCTCTGGGCATAGGAAGCAAATCACACATGCACCTCTTTTGTTGAGGCTGCAGATATGGTGAAATTGCAGCATTTTAAATCAGGATGGCATTTGTATGAGGGGCCTACCTATAGGATAATAATTAAAGTCCTGGAAAATTGTTCCTATTTCCCTCTTTCAGTTATTCCACGTGGCACAGGGTTCTTCCATGGGGGTCACTGAGGAAAAAAATGTGTAAGTTTTTCTCAATAAACACAAAACTAAGTGAAGAAATGAACTTTATTAGGCCTCAAGGAGACAAAAGTAGTATTAAGTTCTGTCTGAAGCTCATTTTAGACCCCAAATGAAAAGGTCATTCAGTAGATGTGGCATAGGAGAGAAGACAGCAGGTTGGAATTAAGATGCAGGGTGCTACCCGTCTCAGGTCATGTGACCTGCCTCAAATGACCCACTGCATTTCTGTTAGACTTGTGTCCTTTAGTTCTTTAAAATTTAGAAGTTATACAAGCTAACCCTTAAAGTCATCCACTTCTACTTCTTATTTCTATCATTAAAAATACTTTTAAAACAGCCATTCGATTTTCTAGAATCCACTCAACAAAATACTATCAAGTGAAAATTATATATGACCTTGGAAAACAGTAATGTAATTCAGTCTATGTGCTCATAGGGAGAGAGTAATAATAAACATATAGAAAGATATTTTAATCAGTAAATGAAGCATGCAAAACTAATTTAACTTGATATATTTAAACAACAAAGGAAAGATATGCTTGTATCATCATACATTACGAACACTAAGTTACTTCTTTCCTTTAACTTTATGATGTTTTAACTCCTCATTAAAAGTTTGGAGAAATTATTTTTTAATAAGATGAAAAATCCTATCCTGAAGTATCAAGGTTATAAAGTTTTTTAAAGATTATTAATTATATGGTTTGAATAAATGTTGAAATTTCAACTTTGTTATTTTAAAGTTGACATAAGAACTCAGGAGACCTATGTGTGCTTTCAGAAGAACCTGGACTCACTCTATAAAAATGTAAATAGAGCTGGTGTACTTCCTCATCTCTACTTCCACCTCTTTATCAAGCTCTGGGAATTAATAAGTGAGCAACCCTCACAAAAGTGGCCAGTACCTTTTGCAAATGATTTCTCCATTTAATGAAGCAACTGTTAGAGAAGACAGAAATGTCTTGCATTGTTGGTAAAATGCCACATTATAAAATGTCTCTAATAATTTTGATCTGTGGTGGTAAATTCTGCAGAACATTTAGTATGAATATAAACAAGAAAATCAGTTCAAATTATACCAATTTTTTAATTTGATAGTAAATGTCCATGTGGTTGTCAAGTGTACCTATTTTTAATATTATTTCATCACAATTACATTGAAAACATACTCTAACTAGTTGATTTAAATAGTACCATGACTCTTGATGAGAAATTAAGAAGAAAGCTATCAACAACCAGAAACTATGCAGCAATGACAATAACAGAAAGCTCTTTTCCCCGGTATTTCTCCTTGAGTTGGTGGACAGAGCTCAGAGGTCAAACTTCATGGGAACCTGTCCCCAGAGGCTTTGGATAACACTCCACAATGTCTAATCTTACAATACAACACAAGAAACTAAAAGATAAAAATACGCCATTCATAGTATTAATATTATTAAAAAATCTTGGTATTTCCTTTTGATCTTCTAAGGGCCAACCACTTAAACCTAACCCTCTCCCCACTGTCACTCACTTCTAATTTTTCAGGTAATAGAATTTATCTATAGGGACTTGCTTGTATTCTGTCAGGAACAAGATTCTGGTGATTCTCCCCTCTGACCTAACCCATTTAAAAAAAAACTGTATAGACATAAATAAATTTGACATATGCAGAGATGCAAAAGAAAACACCAGCATGTCTTCATTTAAATTATAGCACAGAAATCAAAGTAAAATTTTTTAATTAGTGATGTTATCAGAGCAGTTTTAAAGCACCTGCCATTAATTATTAATAGAGATAATTATATTTCTTCCCTCTCTGCTTACTTCTTTCAAAGAAAATAAAATGTAGCTCTTTATGACCATTAACTATGAATAGGAATGTAATTGTATCACTATATGCACTTCATGAAAACAAAACTTAACTCAAAATATATTTCCAACAAGTCTACTTCATTTGTCTAAACTTGATCTAAATATATGTAATATCTTTAAATGTAAGTATGAATATAATATTCCATTAGTCTGCTTTAGAGATGTGGTCTGAAATTATGTAAAACAGAATGTGAATATTACCTATTTTTTGGAAATACTACAGACTAGGAACAGCATGATTACTTCACAATAGTTTTCAAGTTGAAGCTTTTTTGGAAAAATAGCTTTCTTGGCATGTTTATTTTAAACATGATTAATCTGAATGTCTGGGAAACTTAACATGAACTGCAGCTGGAAAACAAGAGTTTTGTTTCCTTGGACTATCATATATTTTTTCCCTCAGTATTCCAAGGAATAGTGCAATAGTTGTTTCCTACCTGTAACTATTATCTTTATGTTACAGTGAGCATAAAAAAGTATAACATAACATTAAAAATATAATCATTCATTAAGAATATGCTAAACACAACAAAACAGTACCACCGTTGCACATTTTATTATCTATTTAATTTCAGACTTATCATTATGCACATCATGTGTGTTAATAATAAATGAACAAACCTAGTATCCTCATTGAATGTAAGAAATGGAAGGAAGACTATTATGGTTGTCTTCTTTAATGCATCTGTTACATCAGAATATTTATATGACATTATAGAATGTGACATTGCCATGATTCACCATGTAATAGTATATAAAATTCATTCTTAAAAGTCTGCTGACAATACTTGCTTTGAAGATATTTATATACATTTACTTTTATTAATTTATATTTTTGAATTCTTTAATAAGAAAGTTGAAACCTATAGGGATACTTAGTATCTTGTCCTTGACGTTTTTCTCTGCTTTCCTCTACACTGAATTACATACTTAATCTTTTTCTCTCTTTTACTCTCTCTCCTTGCCCACTTCTTCCTTAAACACACACACACACACACACACACACACACACACACACACACACACATTGTAGTTTGATACCACTTAATAAGGATAGAGGTGTATGTGTTTTGGGGGTGTCAAGCAGCTGTCACAAACTGTCACCTCCACAAGAAAAACCTTGGCACACAACAAATTAAACTATGCTTCTTTTTTAGCTGTCATTATTCATAGCCAATAAGTTGAAATGCTCTCAGCATTTCATGTGCAAATAAAACCACGAGGAAGCTCAGTAGATCAGAAATAGTGGGCAACAGATAAAACAGAGAAAACAACCCGCTGTCTGGGTCCTTCTGAAGTGGCTCATCATCACCCCTGCACCAGTGTTCACCAAATGAGATCCAGCCTAGGGCAATGTATTAAATATGCATATCAAAGCAAATGAAAAAAATAAACCTGAAGATTCAAATTGGACACATTTACATGCTGAAAATGTCCCACTTCTATATATCACTTTACAGGTTAGTGGTTCTGTGCATTTTTTTTGTGGCTGGGGGGTTGAGGGAGGGTGAGTTTGCAGGAGCAGCTGAAAAGCATGAAGATTTGCTTTGTAGGACTATTGGGTAAAGTCTGGAAATTAATACAATCAATATACCTATGGTACCAAAGTTTCAAAAATGGTGAAAAACCTCCAGGGTCTTCCCTCTTGTCTTGCATTAACACAAGTCTGTGGCAAACCTCTCCATTTCCCACTCAGTGTGCTGGTGGAACAAATTATTGCTTCATTTCAAAACAAATAGCAGGGGGCTAAAGTAAAAAATGTTATAGTTCAGATCTCTAGGAAATAAAAGGCTTTAAATTATGACGCCCAATGAGGTGGCAAGCCCTCATGGGTTCAAAATAAATCAGTTGTCATATTTACTTGATTGGGGGCCTCAGAGAGGAGCAACAAATGATTCTGTTGACTCTTTTACCCAAAGATGATGATTGTTAAATTATTAAAGCATTCTTCTCTTATGTACAACTTCTTTTTTCATGAGTATATATTTAAATATTACAATAGTTCCACAAATTAGCCTTGTCTATCAACCAATACTCCAAACAGCCGAGTTTATCTTATCTCTTCTAGGTAAACATCAGCATGCTCTAGCTCCAAAAATCCACTGGAAAAGCAGTTGCCAAGAAACTGCTCTAGAAAACCAAGTGCTCAGAACCCCTAAAAATATCACCAGAAAAGCTACAAACTGCAGAGAACTGTCAATCTTTCATTCTACAAACCATGTAAATAGATACCTCCTATTCCCCCCCACAACATAGATACATATAAATTTAGAAACATAAAGCAATGAAAACAAATAAGAAAAAAAATATTTTTAAGATAGTGTCTTGCCACATAGTCCACAACCACACATATTGTCCATCCACAGATAAGCAAATAAACTTTTCATAGCTGCTGCTGCTGCACCCTTTCGATTTCACTTAACACATTCAATGTACAAAAGAGTCCCTCTGCCATCATGTTGGAAACAGGTAAGGGTGAAGATAGGTACAGGAGCTTTCAACACCATAGTATCCATTCTGTCTAAGAACTGAACATCCCAGACTGAAGCTTATTTCTCTCTCTCTCTCTCTCTCTCTCTCTCTCTCTCTCTCTCTCTCTCTCT